GAGCATCATCCTTACTACCGCCTCATTTACCCCATATATCATACGACCGTCGCTCTCTGAGCAACGCACCGGAGCACCGCCCAAAATCCACCAACACCACCACTAAACGGCCTTGTAGCTCAGGCCGTGAACCTGACGGCCTAGATAAGTTCCTCTCTCGGCCACAATCGTTTGACTAGAAGTCCAACTCCAAACAGGCGCATCATTTGAACATCTTCTACCCAAACCCCATCACCATCTCAACACACGGTAGACCGTGCTGGCACGCCTGTGCACAACCGCACCGTATCCAAAAGAAAGACGTCACGTGTTGACGCACATCCCCTCGGCCTGGAGCACCAGGCCGCGAGATTTGCGACGGACCAACAACAATTAGCTCTTAACCTATGTTTACTATCCAGTAATAGAGAAAGAAAATAATGAAACTCTTAAGGGGGTGTATTCAATTAAGATTATACATGATTTTGAAAGATTTTTTTAAGTGACAGATTTTCTAGAATTGTATAACTCCTATAGGTTTTATTCGGATTTTTAATAAACTTGTATATGCTTTTATTATAGACTTCCATACTTTTGTATGAACTTTTGTTATAGATTTAGACATATTTGCATAGACTTCCCAATACTATTTTCTTTTATCACTCTTTCTTCCCAACACTATTTTCTTTAAACTATCTTGACCTAGCCACTAGTCAACCATCCCCCTTTTTTTATTTTTTTTATTTTATTTTATTTATATATTTCTTTCCAAACTCTTCCTCTACTTGTGTGCACAACTATGAATTTCCCTTTGAAATTTCCATGAGTTGGAAACTTTCATACCTAAACAATCAATTTTCTTCTGAAATTTCCACAAGTTGGAAATTTCCCTTTGATTTTGTTCACGAATAGCATACTCTTCGTCCAAAAAATTAAAAAAAAAAAAAAAAAAAAAAAAAAAAAACCACCTTAGCAAGGGCCCTATCATCCTGGTAGTGTTATGGGTGATGGAAATATATCACAACATTCCACCGCCTTGACGTTGGCTTCACACCGAGATGATCTCCAAGGGAAGTTATCGGAGATCAAGAAATCTCTAGCTGAGCTTTTCGTCCGACAACTCTAACTGGTTGATTTGAAGAAATCAATAATGGAGGAGCTTTGCTTAATACATGATGCTTGTAACCACCCAAGGTTAGTGCATGGCTTAGTGCATTGTTTGCCAAACGATAGAAAAATTTCTAACACAGAGAGAGAGAGAGAGGAGAGAGAGAGAGAGAGAGAGAGAGAGAGAGAGAAAAACAAGTTGTATGAAATCTTTGGGGTAGAGGTTGGACTTATGTTGGCCTTTATTATTTATACCTAAACACTACAAATTCTCCAAACTCCAACACTTAATTAAATCCTTCCAAATCTATCTCCTTTTGAATGCAGGTAAATTTATTTGGATTTTTTTCAAGTCCTAATTGAATATACCCACATTTAGACAGACATTTTAAGAGTTCAAACAAGTCTAGATTGAATACACCCAAACTGTTATAGACTTTTTAAAAGTTTGTATAAATCCAAATTGAATACACCCGGATTTTTAAATCCTTTTTAATCGCTCTAGAATCCTAATTGAATCTTTCCATTGTTTGGTCACTGATGAGAATTCTCTTCAAATGGCGTATGACTTGAAAACAAAGTTGGCTCAAGTGCTCCTAAATCTAAAATTATCACTTGATTGTAACAAGTGCTGTAAGCTCAAGTGCGCATCAGCAGTGGTGGATCCACATGGGGACAAAAGGGGTTAATTGACCCTACAAACCCATAATCTACCATAGGAGGCTAAGAACTTGACCCTTGAAAATTGCCCAGAAGGTGTTGTAGGGGACTTTTTCTTCCGGCAGCTGTAAATGGGCTAGGCTGCCGTAAAGGGCAAACTGATGAAATTGTCCCCTTTGTCTGAGTTTGAAAATTAAGCCCCCAAAGATGCTTCGAAAGGGCAGCATAGCCTTAGGAAGTATTTTGGTTACCTTCACTAGCCAAAACAATGGCAACTTACAGGTAATTTTTGCATGCTTACAGATAAACTTTTGAGCTTAGCATGAGAGGCATGTGGCATGGAAGCAAAATCAACATGAGTTTAGCACTGAGGGGAAATTTAGGCTTTCTTAGGGGGGAAAAGGGAAGTGTTAAGGTGAGAAAGGAGAGATTTGTAGGAGATTTGGCTAGGAAGAGAGAAATGAAGAACAATGCTCTTCCGACAGCTTGACAGATACTCTGTCTGCCAGAAGAGAATAATGGAGAAGAGGGTGAACAGTGCACGAGATTGCTGGGTAGAGAGAAAGCTTGCTCTCTAAATCTGGGTTGGTTTCGTTGGGTAGGAGATGCCTCATTTTATAGCCGCTGGAAACCATCACTTCCCAAGAAACCCTAATGGCTTCTACTCATTTTGGCCAAGCTTTTCTCCTCATTTCTCATCTCCTTCCTTGACTTTTCCCATTTTGATGAAATCCCTTCTACCTATTTGCACCAAATCAGAGTTTTTTAAAGCTCAAGGCCCCTTTTTCCCACAGCTGTCTCAATGAGAGACTTCCATTCCCAGCCATATCTTTTATTGCTTTCCTCTCATTTTTCCATGGCTAAGTCTAATGGGGAAAGGAGTTGGGATATATATGCTAGTTCGAAGGGTGCTTCTGGCAGCTCGCAGGCTAATATTCCTTGGTTCCTTGAATGTTTCTTGCTTGGAACTTGCTCTTCCCATGTGCTGGAACCTCCAGCAACTTTGTTCAATGAACCTTCTGACCCTCTCTTCGTGACTTTTATTTTTTTAGCAAAGGCTGAGGTTTTTTTGTGGCTTATTGTGAAGTTTTGCATGGGCCAAGGTGGTTCATTAAATAAGTGGGCTATTTTGTTAAGCATTGGGCTTTGAGTAGGCTATTTGGGGCTATTTGGGCTATTTCTTTTCCCTTGTGCTCACTCACATGTTTGGGCCTAAGAAATGGGCCTGAGTCTTGAGGCTCCCAAGCGACCAAAAACTTCTCATTTCTCAGCCCATCAATGGGCCTCATGTTGATTTATTACCATTCATGCCACAACCCACTCAAGCAAGCCCCGAGTGTTTGAGTGGCTTGAGCCCACTTAGGCTTGTTGCGTGGTTTGGCGTGAGATAACGATTTCGTACTTGGCATGGCATGTCGCTTGACATGTTTTAATTTATCGTCCTTGGGAAGAACTGTGATGTTTAATTTTTGCATGGGCTTGTAGAGCCGGTATATTTTATCTCGACTCCTAGCATACTAAATTATTTATTTAGCGTGGCACGTGAACTGTGACTCGTGCATGACGGATTTTCGTGTGCTCCAAATCGGGTCTTTTCTAAATAATATATTGTTTTGGGCCGAGAATATATTTGGGCCCAACCGTGGATTTTTTGGGCCTCAACATTAACCCTCTTAATTATTAGGGCCATGAATAAGTGCTGGAATGAGCCGAATAATTAATCCCGACCCAAAATCAAATTCATAAGCTCCAACAATTATTTGCGATTTCCCAGATACCAACTTCCTCCTTCTTCCTATTTATTATTTCTTCCTTCTTTTCCTTCTTCTTTATGCGTACCAGAGTAAACCTCTTTTTACCACTTTCCCCTTCTTTCTCTTTCCTTCCTCCAGCGAACTTAGAGAGAGAGAGAGATATATATATATATATATCAGGTAATAACCACCCATTTTCAGCCGCTAGAAGAGAGTTTTGAGCCGAATTCGACTAGACTGGGCAATATTGCACACGACCTGTTAACACGACATGAATTCGCACGAAATTATTAGTATTTGGGTTGAGCTTAATAGGTCGGGTTGAAAACGAGTGAACCCGTTAGCCACCCGTTAAGCTAACGGGTTGTGTCGGGTCGAAAACGGGTTAACCCGTTAAGGAGGTTAATTTTATAATTTTTCAAAATATATTTTTTTTCTTTTCTTCTTCCCCTTTTCCTCTTTAGTTTTCTTCTTTCTGTGTCTTTTTCTTTTTTCATTTTTTTATTTTTCTTCTTTCCTTTTTGTCTTTTTCTTTTTTCCCATTTTCCTTTTCTTCTTCCTTCCGCTCTTCTCTTCTTCTCTGCTCTTTTTTGGTCAATATTCTCTTATGTTCTTCTTCTCTCCACTCAATAGACTCCGCCAGCCCAGCCACCATTTATCAAGAAGGAGGTTGTTGGTTTTGGTTCTCTCAGTCAATTTTGAATTTTCTTTCTTCCTTAATTTATGTAGTTGTTGGGTTTTTAATATATCTGTGAGAGAGATATGTACTATTTTGGGGTGAGAAGACTGAAATAAATAGGGAAAAAGGGAAGAAAAGTTAGGGTTGGGGGAAAAAAAGACAGAGAAGGTGTGTCGGGTAAAGAAGTTGTGATGAAATTTTTTTTTTTGGTTTATTCTTAACGGGTTAATGGGTCGTGTCGGATATTCGCGAATTGTAACGGGTCGTGTTTGGGTCTAGTATTTGTTACCCATTAACTTAACGAGTCCTGTCATGTCAACCCATTAACTTAACGGGTTGATACAAACATGACCCGAAACCCTTTAATACAACCTGTTTGCCAGGTTTAAATCCGACTCTATCATCCCCCTGTACGAAGAAACCCGCTTGCCATTGCTGGAAGAGATTGTCTCTGTGTAGAATTTTCTTCCAAAATTCCTAATTCCTTATTTCTTGTTGCATCTGAGGCTATCCTTTGATGGATTAACAAGGTGTTCGCACTAAATCTGAACAGATAAGAGTTTAGGCTAACTTACAAGTGTGCTGATGGATGAGGACCGGGGTGACCTTCGTCCGTGATGTCCGAAGGTTCAAGCGAGGGTTGGATCCGAACTGAGGAGAGGATACCGATGTGGTACCTACCGAAGGCACTCCGATACCAAAGTTAATAACTAAGAGCGATTCTATTGATAGTGGAAGCACTAGTTAAGTCAGAAAGTCTTACCACTTGGCTGGGGCCAAGGGGCTCTATTTATAGAGAGCATTTGTGATGCTCTTAGCACTTAGTTTCGATGTGCGACTCGTGGGAGTGTCTTCGGAGATTGACACGTGCTCTGACAGGTTCCGGCAGAAGTTCTGAGGTAATATGATAGAATTGGATTGACGTGATGGTTGGTTGCTCGGCAGACCATGCCAAAGGTTAGCGAAGGGACTGATGGCGCATAATCGACCCTGTGAATTGGTACAGCGTATCGAACAAACATTCGGTATGGCCCAGTTGAGCTGGTGTCGGCTTTGAGGGTGTTCCACGTGTCATGACATGAGTGGGCGGTCAGATATGGTACAAACACAAGGTATGCCCTTTTGTCCTGTAATTTCTTGAATCTATTGAGGGGTTTGTTCGGTTCTTCATACCTATGGGTTTTGCTCTTTGATTTGGCAGCCAAACATCCACTCATTTTGACCCATCCACCTTTTGTTGGAGCAATCGTTAGCAAGGAAGGGGTTTGCATCAATTTTTGAGGGTTCTCCCATTTTTGATTTCTTTCTTTTTGCAAGCTGCTGTAAGGGTGCTGAAATTGAGAGGAAAAGTCGCTGGTATGGATTGCTCCACTTTTCTTTTCTCCATTTTTCTTCCTCCTTTTAATCATATGGTGGCCTCTTTTTGAGTTGGTGAAAATGCTGAACTTTGCATGATGCGTTTTTTGTATGTAGGTGTATACGTCTCTGGCACAGGCAGGGGAAGGTGAGTGCTGGAAGCTTTGACGTTTTTGCTGCTGGAACCTTCGAATCTTCCAGCCTTCTAACTTGTATTTTTTGGGCTTCTGCCAATTTGAGTATTTGAGGAATAAGGATAGACTGGTGCTTGGCCTAGGCTTACTCCCCTTGTGAACATATGCTTGATTAATTGTAGAGTTTGTTCTTGGCCGTGAGAAGTAGAAGTTGACAGGATGCATGTCTTGCAATGCTTGATTTTTGTTTTGAGAGAGAATTTGCTTGGCATGCTTATTGATTCACAAGATGAGAACTTTGTTTGTCACGAACTTGGATCATAAATTGCATATTTGCTTGAACTCCTTTTTTGATTGAACTATATGCATCACGAGCGTATGCTTGTAACCACATGATTAATACATAGGGTTAGAGGCTATTGAAAGCCTAAGGAAAGCATCATTGGTTTTCTTTTTCAGAGCTTGGACATGGATAACTATTTATTTTTTTGGCCTTATGGGGATATATATGAACATGTGTATGACGGGTCTGCAAGAATGCCGTGTGACTCATAGGGATTTTGTTTCTTTTTTTGTTTCTATGAAAAAGGTTAATAGGAGGTAAATAGTGTTTAGTTTGTAACACTTGCTTTGTGAAAAAGGGTCTGCTGGAATGATTGATTGAGCATGGAATGGGAACTTTGCTTGTCATAAGCTCAAGTAATAGATTGCGTGATGCTTCAAATTTTTTTTGTTTATGCATTTCGCTTGGCATGAGATAGCTTGCTTTGCTTGGCCTGTAAAGGTCATATGGCTTGCATGCTAGTGTGGAGATTTCTTTAACATAGAGATGTTTTACCCTTTTGCAACATATTCTTTGTTGGCAATTCTTGCAGGAATTCACGTAATAAGTCACAATGATTTCTGTGATCAGTGGTGGCTTATTTCCCCTTGCACGATGGGTTGAAGCATGGACGACTACCTTCATAGCTTAGAAACACTTGCCAAAACTTGATCATAGGCACTGAGTAAACTTTGGAGGCTACTCTCATTTCCAGGTGTTGTATAGAGAAAATGCATGTTTTCGGCGGCTACTTGATTTTTATTTATTTTTTCAATACCTTTGCAGCATCACTAAGGGCTGCCCAGAGTAGTTCGAACGCGAGTTGACAAACCCAACTACCAAAGATGTTTTGCAGATGATTGAAGGTCGCAAAGGAAACATCGGTTTTTTACCTTACAGCAGCGTGCTGGAAGTGCTTGAGCATGTGTCCTATTAAGACCTTGCGTGGACTTCCTACTGGATACTTAAAAGAAGTTATAACACACACTGTTTTTAGAGCACGAGCTGTTTTTAGCATGAAAATGTGTGCATGATCCCCTTAAGCAAGAGTTGTTAAGTCTTCAGGAACACGAAGCCGTAAGCTACGAGACCTTCTCCTTGACAAATGACCGACTGAGAATGGCGTTTGGTGCATGGTGGAAACATCGAAAGGATCATCTCATAGCGCTTCTTCTATTCTGTTTTAGTCATGCACCGTGTTCTAGTTGAGGTACCCGATTCTCCTTCTTCGCACTGTAATATATAGATATTTTTTCTTTTAATAGAAAGGGCATATCTTCCAGCATCATCTTTCTTTAACACTTGTCCTTTTTTTTGGACACTCTAACGACCACGTCGTTATGACTTTGTAATGTAGTGTTGAATCATTGGAGCTTGTATTAATTTCTGAATGCTTGAGGCATATTGTAATCTGCATGTCTTATATATATATATATATATATATATTGCTTAGTTGACAAAATTTGTTTTTATGAACTGCTTGAGATTCTCTGACAGATTGGGTATCCTTGAAAACAAGGTACATGCTGCCGAAATTTCGACAAGAGTGCAATTTCTAAAGTTTCTTTTGCATGGTTTATCTAGCCTCTGGGCTTGAAAAGCAGCCTTTTGCCTTCCTTTAAAAGGGCCAGGCTAGCATGTGCATGATTCTTACCAAGGCTTTATAAAACTCCCAGATGTTGCGTATCATGTTGTTCCAGCACCTCAAGATTGTGTGCTTCTTTGTAATAGATCGGTTTTTTTCGTGCCTTATGCTATTTTTTGCTTAAGCATGATGCTTTTTGATGGTTCGGGACCCCATCCAAGTGACTTTGCTTGGCATGTCCTACTGCTAAGCAGCATGTTTTGTTTTTTTCTTTTTTTTTTTGTAAAGGGGGGGTTTAAAATATATAAAGGGATAATAAAACTTCATACACATATTTTTTTTCAAAATAATCATTCATTCTCATTGCAAAGCCCCTGCTACCATAATGGTGCATCATACAAAAGTTGTGAAAGCATATGGTGAAAACACAAAAGAGTTCACCCTTGAAATAAATTTAAAAAAGTCTTAAAGTCAAAAAACATGAGGATAGGTGCAAAAGCAACTCAGCAATAGTAAGGATTTGAGCCACTTTGCATTGATGAATACTCCAATCAAATCAAACCCCCAAGTATGAAAGGGGCAAGGAGCGTGCATGACTTGCAATAGCATGAAAGCTTGTGGCTTATGTTGGCATGTGTTGTACTAGGCTGTCATGCTCTGTAGAAATATTTAACAGAGCCACAGCTGCTGCCCTTCTTGCATGCGACTCATAACCTAACTAATCAAAGAGTGATTTGCGGCTCTTATGAGAGGTTACGACAGCTATCTCTCGATAATCTTGCTGATCAAATGAAGCCCCTGAGTGGCGTTCTTCCTCTTCACTCTTCCAAGCTTCCTGCCCATTTAGTTTAACTGAAATGCTTGTTTTCCTCACTGCTTCCAGAAGCCGAGAAAATTGGCTGATGCCAATATTCTCCAAATAAACTTTGTAATCTGCCATGATATTGCTGATGCAAATTTCGACAAGCGCCTCTTCAGTCTTTCTCATCATAGCAATCCATGGGATTCTCGCCATGTTTTTTATGAGTGTTGTTGAGTTGAGTGGTGGTGACTCTTTCTTCATGCTAGAAATACTTCTTACAAAACCTGCTTGCCAAATCTTCCCAAGAGCGGATAGAGTCTGGTGTCAACGTCGTATACTATGTATAAGCACGATCGGTAAGGCTTTTTGAAAACTCCCTAAGTCGAAGACTATAATCACCAACATGTAGTCCCAAAGCATTGATGAAGTGGTTGACATGTTCCTTCGAGCTCCCCTTCCTTCCGTCAAAGAGAATAAAGTTTGGTGCTTCGTAGCCTTTAGGATATGGTGCTGGAGTAAGCTTGATAGATACGGCGGCTAAGGAAGGTACTTCCAATCTTCTTGGCTTTGACTCAGTTCCTTTTCCAGCATGGCAATGACATCTTCTTGGGTGACAAAATATGGTCCCTTTTGTTTAGACCTATTTCCAGCAGCAACAGACTCTTGTGGAAGTCTCTCGTTTTCTTTGCTTCGCTTAGCAACTGAACTTTTCAGCTCCTTGATTGTGTTTGCCATCTCCCTCTGGGTTTCCCCCATAGCATGGATGGCTGCAACAAGGTTTGAGAGGGTAAAAGCTCCCTCACTTGCACGTTCTTCTTCTCTAGATGTGGCATTCTGCCTTGATTCCGAATCACCATGGCTTGACCTATCTTGGGAAGTCATGTTGTTGCTTCTGGTCTTCTTTTTTGGAGGCATCGATGAAGATAATGGCCTAATCCTCAGCAGAGTCGCCAATTTATGTATGTGACTTTTCTTTTGGCAGCTGTAAATGGGCTGAGCTGCCGTAAAGGGCAAACTATATATATATATATGTAATATATAGAGATGTGGCTGGAGCACCAATTGCAAGTTGGTCTCCAAAATTGGGGCTGTAAGATAAAAACAAGCTGATTGTATATGTATATATATAATTACATTTATATATATGAATGCAATTGGTTGGTGCTCTAGGAACTTTTTCGAAATGGGCAAGCTGTTTTGGAGTGCATGAGGTCGGGGCTTAATTGAACCTCCATTATGCAATTGCTTTGAACTTGCATATCGGCCAGTCTCTCAAGCTGGAGCATTCCTAGTCCTATTATATAATATATATATATATATATATAATATGTTTAGAATTTAATATATATTATATGGATGGCAATACAAGAGAAATCGGATGCCCAAGTTTAAGCCAACGATTCAAGCCCAGATTTTCAGAGTATTATGTGCACGTGACGGAGGCCTCACAAGGAAAGAAATCAAGGGATTTTTTTATAGTAACTCCGAGTGTTCCAAAACAAGGAAGAATCAAGCATGTCAGAATATCAATGCAATCTTACGGATTTAGGGGGGCCTTAGAAGGAAAGAAGTTTTAAAGAGTCGACCTTTGGCCATTGAATGGCCAGCCTATGGGCTGACGAGTGCCCTATATAAACCTTGCTCGACGAAGGCAGAAGACACAACATCAGACAAACAAACTTATCTTTCGTCTTGCACTTTTCTTTTCCTAGACTTAGGATTTTATTTTTCAAGCACCTAGTATAGTGAGCTCTTCATATTTCTAGTGTAAGTTTATATTTCTTTTGTCATTTAAATTCTTGTTTCAATTTACATTTCTTGTAATTTAAATTCAAGTTTATTTCAATTGCTTTACTTTTCATTGTTATCGCACTTCAATTAAGTTTAATTTCAAGTTCATTTTACTTTATTGTTCTTATCGCTTTCATTTCGTTCTTACTTTATTTATCGCTTTGATTCATTTTATCGCACTTTAATTCTTGTCTTTACGTTATTTATCTTTCGCACTTTACTTTACGCATTTGTCTTTAAATTATATTTAAGTTTAAGCACATTTACTTTACACACTTGTTCTCTGTTTCATTACGTTTCACCTTCCAACTACATCTCCACTTTGTCGCTCACATAAAGCCTTGACCTTGAGGTAGTGAAAGAACCTAGGCCGTGAAGAGGTTCCTTACTTGGTCGAACAATCGTTTGATTAAAGTTAGATCTCGGACGCAACACATCCATCTACTCACATTCCATTCAAGCCCAAATTCGAGGCTTGGTGGTGGCACGCCCTGCACTCAAAAAAGAAGAAGGACCAAAAGTTCCTTCCATCGGCCGCCCCAGCTGAAAAGAGGGAAACAGAATCCAATCACACCATGAATAAAACAAATCAGACATTGAGGAGACAAAATGCATACCTATTCTCTTCAGAATGGGGATGCATTGAAAGAAACGTGTAGAGGACAGTAAGAGCTGCCCACATACAGAACACTAACCCTAAAAGCAATTCAACCACCACCTGCATTCCCAATTACCCTTTTAAGCACATAAACACCTAAACAAAACAATACCCATACCCATTACAAATTTATAAATAAACCTAATCCTAGACATGTATTTATAAAAAAACCCAAGGACTATTTAAACATAGAAACACACCCAAAATCAACCCCAAAGTCAACTTTTTGGGTGTGTTTATAAATGGGTTTTGAGTGTGTGTAATGATGGGTTTTGGGTGTGTTTATAAAGTGTTTTGGGTGTTGGGTTTTTTTATAATTTCAACCTCCATTTTGGGTGTTTTAGTGAAACTCCCTTTATAGAATTTGTTTTTGTAATCTTACATTCAATGGAGGTCCTGAAAACTCTTCCTTCATAATCTCTTCAATATTCTCCTCTCATAAGGTATCCATATTCAATCACAACAAAGTTGTAGACTTTCAAATCCATATAGATACACAAATATGTATATATATTATCTAGAGTTTACATTGAACGGTTGAATAAGCTGCATGAGAGAGAATTACAACTCCAAGGATGCCAATCACGAATCCCAAATTCAAAGCCATTTTAGCTCCGATCTTTGTCAACCTATTTCTCCTGTATCAGCTTCTACAAAGTGCAATGCAACAAATCATCGTTATTGGCTGGCGGTAGAGTTAGAAAATTTTCACACAGGGGGCACCTCATATATTGAAATATACTTTTTCTTAGGTTGACAATCAAATAATTTTTTTACTTTAAGCAAAATCTTATTTTAGTTTCTATACTCCATTATTTTACATGTAACATTAACTATATCTACTCATTATCACTCATAGCAAACAATCAAATGAAATGTACTTTATTAAAGATACACACTACGAAAGGTACATGAGAATGGTTGCCTCGCAGGGCTATTAGGGAAAATAAAACTTAAGTTCATCCGAGTTTAGTGATGTGAGCGCCTGCATTTTTTATTGTTTCAAGTTTATTTCGTTTTCAGCGATAAGACAATGAGGGATGCTACTAAGCTTAAACAAGCAGTGGAGCTCATGGTGCCAATCATCTTCAGGAGATTTGAACACAAAGAAAGAAAGAAAAAGGACTTTAAAATTTGGTTAAGAAAAATATGATTGTATTAATAATACAATAGCCTCAAATTTTCTTTGAGAGGGGCACATCTTTGTTGAAGTTAACTTTCCGCTTCGCTTTGTTGAAACTGTAAAACAAAATACCAAAGCAGTGGCATTTCATGCATGATTTCATAGTTTTATAAGAGCATTTCTAGCGCTTCGAACTAGCCCGAGCGAATAGGGCTCGAGGCCCTGTGCCCCTGTGCCTAGTTCCATCGGGCTTTGACAGCTCGGGCAAATGGTGGGGGCCACCAAACTGGGCAAGCCCAAAAATAGACCGAGCTCAAGCTCATGCCTGAGGGATGATGACATCAGCTAACGGTAAAAAAATTTCAAAATCCCATGCGGTTAGCCCTACTTTCCTCCAACGATTATAAGCCACGTGACACGTCCTGGTGTGTTCGATCCAAATTGGAAAAAAAAAATTTCATATTTTTATAATAAATAAAAACCAAAAAATTTTGATTTTTTTTTTCTATAAATACCTACCAATATTCTTCACTTTTCACACCAAATCTTCGTACAAATTTTCCTCCTTCCAATATTATTCACTTTCCACAACAAATTTTCTTCACTTTCTAAATTTCATTTGTGTAAAAATACAAATGACCTCTTTCATTGAAGTCAGAGGGTCGTGGACAACCATGGAAGATGTTTTATTGTGTGAGTGTTGGGTCCAAGTTGGTCATTGCCCGATCATGGGCAATGAGATAAAGTTCTCTCATATGTGGAGAAAAATTCATGCCGAATTTTGTGAAAGATCAGGTTTGGCTCGTACGGAAATGACCTTGGCTAGTAGACGGAAAATTTTGAATAAAGAATTACCCTCCGTTTGGATGAAGAAATTGAAAATTACATGATTTCGATGTTTGGATTTATGTATGTCAAATTTTGTAAATGGCACTATGAAAATTGTGAAATGACGCCTATTTTGATGGAAATTAAACTTGGGAATTTTATGCTCCAATTTCCATGATTTTTTCCGTGCGTCATTTAATAAATTCCGCGCTTAACTTACCAAACAAGGGAATTGTCATTTAATCCTCATAAATTCCTGATTTTTAGTTAAATTCCGAGTTATTTTCCCTCATCCAAACGAAAGGTTAGGGAAATGGAGAGATGCGTTGGCAAAAATGAGGACAACATTCGAAGTTGTGAAAATTTTGGCAACGGAGTAAATTATTTGTAATTGATGTTTTATTAAATTTAATGTCCTATGTTTTGAAATTTTCTTGCATTGTTTTTAAAAAATTATAGATTATGCAAACACAAATATAGTTTGTTGCCATTGGCCAAGACAAAAAATCTTTCAACAATTACCAATGTTGGGAGGTTATGAAAAATTGTCCGAGATTCAAAATTATTGTCACGGGCCCGACCATTGTGTTGAATGTGACGCCGCTCCACGATTCGTCGGCATTGAATTCGCCATTGGAGTCCCCGATGAATGAAGACTCACCAATCCAAAGGAAGCTGATGCCTATTGGAAGAAAGGCCGCAAAGGCCAAGATAAGGAGTAATTCGATCATTGACTGTGCAAAATTTTTGGAGAAAATTGCTCTGAACGGCACAATGAGAATTAACAGAGACATGAAAAAAGATGAGGATGAGAAGGTAACATATGAAGCATGTGCAAGAGAAATGGAATAGATAGTTTCAATTGCATCATAGAATCTGACCAAGCTCTCTAAGATAATGGATTTCCTCATTTTAGCAATCGCATCCACTTGGTCTGCAGATGCACCAAACGGCAGCATCCATAAAGAAGTTGTAAGTTTTTGCTCCGGAAGAAGCCCCAAAACCCCAGTAGCATCATACTTCGTTCAGAAGTATACGTTGTAATTGCAAACATCATGCATGATTTTATTGAACAAATTGGGATGCATTTTATATGGGCCTCGAAAATCAAAACTAGAGTAAATTTTGGATAAAGTAATCTTCCACATTCGGGCCATGGCCGATTTGTGAACCACGGTGGCCTTGACTTGATTGATGCAGCATACCCACTACCATGGTAACTTGATCATCATCTTTTTCCTCATTCTTTTCTTCTTCAACTTGTTTGCGCCTTCTTTCTTCAATTTCTCGCTCTTGCCTCTCCAACAACCTCCTCGTGTAAAACATTGAGAGTATAATGTGTTTTCTAAAATATAAGAAATGAAATAATAGAGAGGATATGGTGTGAGAGGTCTAAGTTGAGGTTGTGGTTTTATAAAGGAATTTAGAAGATAGAGATGACACGCGGCGCAATTTTTGAGGATGAAAATCTAATATGAAATATGAGATTTGTATTTTATAATAAATATCAACACATGCCAACCGAGAATCTTATCTGAAATTTGAGATGTGAATTTTATAATAAATATGGACATGTGGCAACCAAAATTTTATCTAAAATATGAGATGTGAATTTTATAATAAATCTTGACATGTGACAATTGAAAATCTTATCCAAAAAAAATTAACGAATATATTGCCCTTTGCCATGGCAATAAATGGAAACTATTGAAGAATACCTGAGTCTCATATCAGAAACTTAACAAAATAGAAAGTCACATATAATAAATGGTTCCACTCCTAATAACATCGAAGCCTTTTGTATAAAACCTCACACCTGCTAAACAAGTGGTTAAGTTGGGGACAATATCGATGTCGGAGCTCTAAGTTCTCATATTTCACACAATTACATAGCATGGGTCAACTTGTTCAAGATTTAAGTTAAGAACAATATTGATGCACATCGTATTTTTCATATTTAATTTCCTCTAACATTTAAAGCGAATATTGTGAGTTTCAAGCAAAAATTGAAATAAGTTATGTAACCTCCTGTTCTTTTAGGGGGGGGGTGTATTGAATTAGGATTTTAATAGATTTTTTTGAAGCTTAAAAGTCTAGTGATATTCAATTATGATTTTTAAGTAATCAATAAAAATATGATGGTATTCAAATAGGATTTTAAAATCATCAATGCAAGTCTGGTGGTATTCAATTAGGACTTTCAAAAGATTAGAAAAAGTACGGTGGTATTCAAAAACTTACCGATTTTGAGGTATTTCATTAAATGATGTATTCTGTGAGACTTTTCAGTGAATGATATAAATACCAAACCCCATAAAAAATCACACCCTATTACATCTGATTCTCATGTTGATTTGTTTTGGGGGGAGAAGAACAGACTTGAGAAGTGAAGAGGGTTCTCATCTTTTCTCTTCACATACTTGTTCTCCTATATACTATCATACTTTATTTTTTTTTTGTCTCTATTTGCATTATCTATGTTGCTTTGCTGTGGGCACAAGCCTACATACATCCATGTATATTTGTGTTGCTTTGTTGTGGAACAGACAGAAGAAGAAACCAATCTGTAAAGATAGTTGGTGTTTTTGGTTTGTTGTGCACTCCCTCATTCTTTAGGAATGAATTTTCTTATTTATTTATTATTTCATAAAATAATATTTATTACTTTTGTTAAAACTGGAGAATAACTATTCAAATAACTATAGAGATTTGTTTTGATCTAAACTAGTCTTTCTTATCTTTCTTGTTATATAATACTAATAAATAGTTTACGATGACTAGAAGAAATCCATCACTAGGAAATTTCCTTCCATAAGGGTGCTTTATTTCTTGGTTTCAATGCATAGTGTTTGGGTCTTCTAGTTCCCTTGGGAGAAAAGGACCACTGTGCTACAATTTTATTTTTTTATTTATTTTTATTTTTATAAAGATGAACTTTCATTAATAAAGACCAAAGAGAGGTCATAGAACCACCGAGACTACACAACATGAAAGTTTATTTTTGAAAGTTTATGAAAAATAATCCTTTGGGCCTCTAGAACATGAAAAATAATCAAAAGTTTGCATACCAAGCAATTAATCCTAGTGCAAATCTTTTGATTCTTTGGAGAATATAAAAAAGTCCTTAGTGAATCATAAGAGAATCATGTAATTACAATATATTAAAATCATAAGTAAAATCTTGTAATTACAAATCCTGTTGAAATCCATTGCCTTAAAATCATGTGATTACAATCTATTAAAATCTTAATTGAATACACCTCCTTTAATGTACAAAAGACATATTACATGTAACATCAATACACATTGCATATATATATATATATATATATATAAAGCAAAAGGCAGAGAATGGTAAAAGATTCAAAATACTAGAAAATGCCCTTAGTTAATGCAAACATTAAAAATTAAAATTATTAATTAAATGAGGATAATATGATAAATTCACACTTTTTCATATTAAAAAAATTAAAATTAAAAGAAAAATCAGATAATTGATCTATTTTTATAGAACACAACTATCAATTATCTTTTTTAATTCTAAAAAAATGCATCTTGCATATATTAAAGCGCGTGCAAAAAGATTAGAATTCATTAGCCTTTAGTGGATAACTCAATACTCTTTATATTGCAGTCAATAACAGATATATGTGATGTGAGCATACCAAAGTAGCAAACCCGCAAGTCAAAAATGCGTGGCTATAAGAACTGGGCCCAGCCCTTTTTTCTTGTGGGCTTGAAGCACATTGTTTTGGCTTTACCAATTGACCATGAATTAATTAAGGTCATTTTTCCTGAAGCATTGTAGCCTAATGTCGTTGGCCTCTTTTTTCATGATAATGACTTTGATTATAATATTAAATAATATAGAGATTCTGCAATTTGTTTCAGTGCTCAACGAATTAGACAAGTGGGGGCCCGATATAATAGACAAACTTATCTTTGTTGCGTGACGGAATTATAATATAACTATGAATCTTGTCCTGTTACTGTTATATTAGTTTCCAAATAACAAGGGAATATGTATGGTAATGACGGCAGAAGCCTAAAGCATGTTGATTTAATTTGTTTCAAGTTTGTTTAAGTAATTAAATCACCGTCTAATTTGTATTATCTCCTTGTCTTACAAACCTTGCACGCCAACTACTATGCTAAGTTTGACAACTTCATTGCATAATTCAAGGATTAGGGTTCCTTGTGCTCTCCGGCATTGATAAACTCTTATATTCGTACCAATCAACATTGAGTATGTGTAGTGATATTATTCATATAACCCAATTAATATATTAAATTGACTTGAATGGAGCCAAGAAATCGGATATACCTTTGGTACAAAGTTGTGCATAGTGCTTTGTGTGCCCACTCAACCCAGAAAGCTTTATTCCCTCTATGTTTTTTATTTTTTTGGTCGAAATCTTTTAATTTTTTATAGGGACGATTTCTTCTTAGAGATATTTAGTGATATACCTATTTTTAGCACTAATATTATAGATAACCCTACACCATTGAATTTCTATTAACAAACCAAAAAAAAAAAAAAAAAAAAAAAAAAAAGACATGCCCTAATTAAATTTAAGTTTGATTATTAAATTACTTTGATACCGTATTGAGTATTTTGGGTTTTTTTTACCAGGTTTTGAGGTTGGACTTTTTTTAAGAAAATGATGGTAGTTTTGTAATTTAAAATAAGTTAAAAACTTCTTTGTTATGTTGTAAATGGACTTTATGTGTGTTTCTAAAGTTCATTTCATATATGATATTTTTATAATTTGGGCATTTATATTAAGTATAATAGTGAATCTCCCAACGAGATATACCCCAATAGAAAAAGACATTGACTTACATATCAGTAGTCTTAAATTCGAATTCCGATAACAGCCTGACAATGTATGCCCCGATATACTTGTATCACAAAAAAAAAATAATAATAAATTAATAGATAAAAAGAGAAAATTAGTATTTCGATAATCCAAGAAGAAAAAAACCAACCAAAGCTGAAAGTGAACGGTTTGACTGTTCAGTATCAGTAGAGCCGGAGCATCCCATATATCCCATCCGCTTTAACAGTCTCCTCTTTTTCTCTATGTTTTTTGAGGTCCAATAAAAAGCATCAGTTCTTTTGTTGGCCTCAATTTAATAGGTTAAATCGCACGCACCAAACATCACATAGCTTTTGCTATTGCTGTGCCGTTGTATTCTTCTACTGCCTGTACTTAGACTGACCCGATTCAGAAACTTCAACGAAGCAACCCAACAGACTCTCGCTCGCTCGCTCTCACTCACAAATTTCAGAGGCAGAGAGAGGGAGTCGGAGCGAGTCACAAACTCCCTGACTCGGTTCTCTGCGAACATAAACATCCATTGCCTTCTTCTTCAGCTCATCTGACTCTACTCAGTCAAAATGAGTACAGTCGTGCAGGTAATTCGTCTATCTAATTAAATTGACCCGCGTTCGTGTTTATTTTAATCTGGATTTGCGTTAGCTTATTATGATAATGCATTCCTTAATTAGGGTTTCACCAAGTCACTTGCCATGACTGTGCTCTCTGAGATCGGCGACAAGACCTTCTTCGCAGCTGCGGTTAGTCTATAGGATTGCACATTTATTTCTTTTTTCTTTCGTTTTGCTTGTTTTTGAATTCTAGAAGTTTGAATAACAATCTAATTGCACTTCAAGAAGAAAATATGAATTAATTCGGAATATACAAGATTTTGGATTCAATTCTATCAAGAACATATTTGATACGGGCAGAGCTTGAGCTTACTACTTCTGAAGGACAATATAAGTTTTGAGAGCACCTATATGAGCTGCTAATTAGTTTTGAAAAGTATCCCTCTATTTTTGCGTTGAAGACTTTTTAGTAACTTATTGAGCATCTTATGGTATATATGTATGTATATATTTGTGCCCCTGAGTTTCCTTTACAAAGTCCCGTGAGTAAGAACCACAGCCCGGAATTCTTTTTATTCTATCCATATACTATTTTTTGTGTAGTTATCTAACAGTATGATGTTTGCTTGAAGATCCTCGCAATGCGCCATCCTAGGAGACTTGTTTTGTCTGGTTGCCTAGGAGCTCTGATTGTAAGCATTTTCTTCCCACTTCATATATTTTTACTCTCTTGTTTTGGATCTTGCATGTTTCTTTTTTGAGGCCTCGCACGTATCTCAAATTTTCCTTGAGTTTTAGGTGATGACTATTCTTTCTGTTCTTGTCGGTTTGGCTGCTCCAAATCTGGTAAGCACTCTGATTCTGCCACCCTGAAATATATGACTGAGATTGTAATATATTTCTATTACTTCTCTCTTCTCATATGAATACTGAACACACTGTGATCCTAAATTACACAGCTCTCACGGAAATGGTCCCATCACATAACAACATTGTTGTTCTTTGGGTTCGGGCTGTGGTCCTTATGGGATGCTTTTAAAGAAGATGGGTAATTAATTTTCTTTTTGGTATTTATTTTATTGTTTGCTTTGCTGCTTGTAGTGGAGTTTAATTCTGGTTTACTCTACAGGGATGATGATGAGTTTGCAGAAGTTGAAGCAAAATTGGTTGGTTTTTCAAATTTTTATTTGTATCTTACATTCAACTCAAATCCTTTCTGACTTCACCCATGCGGTGTCATTAGGATGCTGATCTAAAGGCTAACGCAGGAGCCACCAAAAAGAGTAGTAAGGTACTCCAACAGTTTAATAATCTTTTGCATTTGAATGAGCTCTACTTATTCCCACCTTCCCTCTTCCTCCCTCTCTCTCTCTCTCTCTCTCTCTCTCTCTCTCTCTCTCTCACACACACACACACACACACACACACACACACACACACACACACATCATTATTTCACTTATGATTGTCACCATGTTTTTCAACTTTCAATTCATCATGGTCACTTGAAATACAATATGCAATTTACTGTTCTATAAGATTCATCATGGTGTTTTTTGTTTTTCTAATAATCTGTGGAAATTTTTTGGCTTCCCAGGACGATGATGACTTGAAAAAGCAGAAACGTTCGTTTCTCTTGCAGTTCTTCTCACCAATTTTTTTGAAGGTTATATTTTCTAAGGATTATGAAATTAAATTTTTTTCATGACCAACTATACTTAACAGCTTCTATCATGCTCATTATGCAGGCCTTTTCCATTACATTTTTTGGTGAATGGGGTGACAAGAGCCAGGTGAGCATTTGCCCCATTGAATAGATGTTTTATTGATGGTTGCTTCAGCACGATTTGTTTTTGAACTTCTATCCTTTTAGCTAGCTACCATCGGTCTGGCTGCAGATGAGAATCCATTAGGTGTGGTTCTTGGTGGAATCTTGTAAGTTCCCATCCTTTTATTTATTGAACATGCTCTGAAATCGTGTTCTGTTACATGACCTCCTCTTATTTCCTTTTCTTGTTCCCTCTTCAGTGTGACCAATTATTATTTTTCTTCGTTTTTAGTCTTGTCCTTTTCACTATTGTGTCTGTCTTTGAATGCATATTTTGATGAATGTGTTCTGATGTTTTTGAATGATTAATGGCCCATCTTGGATCAGTGATATGTAAAAGTCTTACTATATGAATTTATTTTGTTCTGATAAGTATTACCTTGATACCTTTATATGCATGAAGTGGCAATGCTGGGCACAACACGAGATATGTATTATTGTTGGATATGTGTTTCATATACCTATTTGTTGGTTAATATTTTTGTCAAACAGCATAGGAAAGGGCTATCAGCATGGGATTTCTTTTGTGTAGTCTATTCCTTATGCTTTCTCAATTTACTTCAATTATGGTCATTTAAGCTGGTGTGACCGTGTGAGTTCATGTACTGATGTGAAGCTTATTTGTTATACAAGAATGCTACTTCATTTGTTTCCTAGTGTCCTTAGGTGTGGGGATTAAACAAATTTAGATACCACTGTGCACTCTCATTCTTAGAATTTACTTTCCTTCCTTTATTTAATTGTTTTTGTTCTAGTTACTGATTGTGCTTCCCTTTTTTCTCTATTATTATAATTTTTTTCAGAGGACAAGCATTGTGTACCACTGCTGCTGTCCTTGGTGGAAAGAGTTTGGCATCTCAGATATCTGAGAAAATAGTAATTCTATGCACCTCCATTTTGGTTTTAACATATTATAGTTATCGTTTTGTATCATATGTGTGGCCTCTAGGCAACATATAGCATTTCCACTTGTAAGTTGTAACTGTTTTGTTTCAGGTTGCTTTATCAGGCGGAGTTCTTTTCATTGTTTTTGGAATCCAATCCTTCCTTTCAACAGTTGAGGCGTGATACCTAGAGTCTGATTAACGATTAGTAAGTACATGATGCTGGATACCAGGAGCACACACACACACACACATCTTAGATACTGCCAGGCCGCACGTGTAATTTCTGATGACGACTCCGCCTTGTGCTAATCTGCTGATTCAGGGACTGAAGGATGATTTAAAGAACTTACATCTACACCCTGTGCAAGGGATCATTTACAAGCATTGCATCGTCAGTATTTATAGGAGGGATGAGCGCCTCTCAGATACGAACATTAAGATTCAAACACCAAACCATTGTTGCACTCTGGAATCATTGATGAGAACATCTCTGCTCTACTCTGTTGCATGCTACTCCAATAAATTTTACATTAACATTGATATATCTATATTATATAAATATTTTCACTCGGATTACTTTATATGAGGATTAGTTTGGTGTCGACCAAAAAACGAGGATTAAATTGAGTAGATAAACTAGTATAGATGTATGCACCCACAAAGTAATCTCTGTGTAGCTCATCTCAATGAATCTGTCGCCAAATACAAATGCATTCGTACAATCCGATAAAGTGAATCAAGATTTGAAATCTAAATTCAAATTCAAATCCTACAATCCACTTGGGACGATGAATTTGAACAGATTTATTTGAGTGGAACCAACATGAAAACCCCTATTTTTACAGCGAATTTGGACTAACAGGAAGAACAGGAGCTCATAATATGGTCCACAATAACAAACTAAACTAGCACTCATAAATCAAGAACGAACAACATGGTTAAAGAAGATTACAGTTGCCGGACCAGGTGTAAAAAATCTGAGAGTCCACACTTCCACCTAATCTCAGTCTAAATCCCTTGTAAGAAGGCTCATAATCACGTGTTAATCTTAAGATACCACGTTGTTTTTCATGACAGTGACACTGTGTGCCATGAATGTGGTCAGCAAGTAAACAAGTTGATTAAATGTAAAGCACCATGTAAGCAGCAGGCCACTGTAACTCAGGAAAATAGTCCAAATTCATACTTTAAACTGAGCCACTTTTTATTGAACTACCATCTCTCTTGTCTTAATGAGACCACAGGATGACCAAGATTCATAAAAATATGGGCACTGGGATTATGTACAACATCTGAAGCTCAGAGGAAATTCTTCACAGCAATTGGGTTCTACCATGCATGTCATTAACATCCGCCGCCACTTGCAGGTTCGATTGAACTCAGAAGCCCATTGTGCCTCAGTTGCATGCAGTGTTCTTCAGCATCAGCCTGAGCGCATATGATCACTATTGACAAGCCATTATGGTGTGCTTCTTGCATAATATTAACAGCATTATCAAGGGACATCCCTGGGATAACCTTCATCAGTACTTGCACAACATATTCCCGTTTGTTGTAGTTGTCATTGTGCAAAATTACGCGGTATGGAGGAGCCGTTTTCCTTGATTTCCTAAACAATTTGGACAATCTAATATTAATTCCCATTTGACACAACAAGATACACACAGGTAAACTCTCTTTGCAGCATTTTAGTGTTAAACAAGGCACTTGTACGGTGTAAAGATATTAACTCCATATTGCCATGTACACAATATAAGGAAATAGCACGTTAAAATTGAGCCAATACCTCAAATCAAACTCAGAATCACGCGCAGGAGTTGTTTTTTCTATAACTGGCCTTTCCAACAACCCTCCTCCTTTACCAGGTCCTGTTGCTGACACAGCCATAGGAATGCCAAGATTGGTGCATGGTCCTTTACAAAGAGGGTGTCTGTCTCCTGCTAAACGTATTTTATCAAGAAAATTTCACCAATCGGAATCACTCTGGCATCTACATTTTAAAGGATAAAGCAACACTACAGCAATGCACTATCCATACTAACCAATCTTTGATTGAAAAAGTAATTTAGCAATCGAAACAGAAACAGAGAAATGTAAAAAGATACGAAGATAACATAATACAGAACCACCACAACATGTGCATTTTACAAGCACCGCAGATAAAATATACAGAGTTTGAAAACCCAGATCTTTAGAACTGGCTCTCCAATTGGTCGAAAAGATAAAATATACTGAAATTGTAGCAAAAGCACTCTAACCCTAGAGATGCTAGATCTCCATAATTGCAAAAAATCCTTCAAACAATTTTAAGGAAACCAACACGTGGGTGGCATCACATGCACCCGACGGCAGTGGCAAGATATCCAGAAATTGCCAGTTGCATTACTCGATCTTACAGTAGCAAAACTGAAACTCCACAACTCCCAAAGCAGAACACATAAGAAACCCGCCCAAGTTTATGTACAAGCACACAATGAACTAACTTGCATTACACATGACAATCCCAAATCTGCCCTACCTCCTCAAGATACCAAAAATTTGATTCAATTTTGTTGCGAAAAATTTTCTTGTAATCAAAACTTTAGATTCGTCACAACATAAATGCACCCTTACACATACAATTCTCACCAATTACATAATTCTTTGTCAGCATCAACTAATCTTATACATTGTATATGTAATTATAGCTACATGATCATTTGGGTTTTTCTTAGCAGTTCATTTTTCTGTAAAAGAAGTGTGCAACACTTCCATTTTACCCAGAAAAATAAAAGGTACCCAAGGGAGAGAAGTGTGTTAGATAAAAATTGCATAAGCTGATAGAACAGATGTAGAGGGCAACAAGCTCAATCCAAAAATAGGAAAACAATAAAGAAAATCACAAGGATTTACAAGAATCAAGCTTTGAAATTGAGGAGATAGCAAATCTACTCAGCAGCTTACGAAATTAAAGATTTTGATGCAAACCCAAAATCTAAAAAGAGGGCATGAATTCATGGAAAAAAGAAAAACCTGGTTTAGGATTGAAGACGTGGTTGGAGGAGAGAGGTAGTCTCCCACATATCGCAGTCTCCATGACTCTCTTTCTTTGTCTTTCTGTGAAATGTGTCGCGTGGTTTATTTATTTATTGGAATTTTCTCTTTTGGGTCTCTAACTGAAATAACAAGAAAACGATCGAACTGGTGTGTCTGGTGTGGTGGAGGTGGACTGCTGGTTTTCACAATTCACATGAGACGTCGTTTTGAGCCCTGCCAAGTTTTTCTTTTTTCTCCTCCGTATTTTGAATGAATAATCTTATTTATAATTCAAAAATGTGAATGTGAACGACAGGAATTTCTACCAAGTGGCAACCAGCCAGGTCACTCACAGGTGTTTCCGAAAATAAAAAAATGATGTTTGGTAATTTCAGGTATTAATCTTTTCCCTACGTATTGCATAAACTATCGAACTTCATTCTAGGTAAACCACAGTTTCATAGGAAAAATTCAGGTGATTAGTATGATTTTGTTTGTTTCTAAACCAAATTTTAAATGGGCTTCTTATGACTGTTGAGGTCCAACCTATTACAACCTCCTTTTCCTTGGGCTTTAATGAGAATGTGGTTTTTCTGGTATTTTAAGCTTCTTTCAAGAACAAAAGAAGTTGTCGGCGTTTGTTTTTTTACTTCAAATTTAAAATACAAGCGATATTGCGAGAGAGGTTTGTTTCGTTAGGAATTGCATCTATGTAATATAAAAGGAGCAATTTCATATGGTATATGAATTTTGCTGCCTCAATTTTTTCATGAAACTTTAACATATAGCTCTCGCTAAAAGTCAGTCCAAAACGAAAAAGTATTATGACTTGAAATTGCTTCTGGTCAGGTAAATGAACAACCGAACGAATTGCTTGGCAGCTAGGTAGATAGGGAGGAAGGATCGGTGAAGGAAGAGGATGACAAAACATTTTAGGCCGTACAAGAGAGTCTATCCTCAACATGATAATAATACATACTTTTGGTCCAATTAATGACATAATAAACATTCGCCTCTCATTAATTAATTATGTGTAGAAACGATACGTAGATGCATCAGTGATGATATTCCGGAAGCCACCAACTGTGGAGGCCAACATGATGAACGCTCCAATGAAGATGCTAGCCTGCAAATTTCAAACACAAACTCATCACTAACTAAAAAAAAATTATATATATTGTCATGCAAATTAATCCAACTAGCTAATATGTATATATGTTGTGTCATGCAATAAATAAGCTTATTCGAGGATCCATCAACTGAAGCTCTCTATATATATATATATATATATATATGTTTGGCTTACCCAGTTGACGAGCCATTGGAGGCTGAATCTCTTTGGTTTCTTAATGATAAGCCACATTATAGAAGGAAGCTGTAAGAAAGAAAAATGCTCAATTCAGGAAGCTATTGTACAATTAAAAGATTAAGAAATGAAATATTAGCGAGAGAGGCTTACGAAATATGAAGTGGGGGCAAAACCAAATCCACCAAAGAAACCAAGCAGGTCCCCAAAGAAAGGGAAGGTCACTCCAACGAATAATGTAAATGCTGCAACATATTAAAGTTTTAATCAACCACAAATAACAAAATTAATCACTCTCCGTCTCTTAAATCAGAGCCAAAATGGGGAATTAATCTCACCAACATAAGCTGATCTTGTGATTAGTCTGAGTGCAATTCCTGGTGGGAAGTTCACTTTTTTCACCATCAACCTCTCCAGCATGTCAAAAACAGGCATAGCATAAACCTGCACAGTTTTTTTTTCTTCTTCAAATTAGTCACATTACATCCTTAACCTTAATTAGGTAACTCTCTCTCATATTCTTACTTAATTAAGCTGCAAAGTGCTGAGAGCAGAGTGGTGAGTCAGCAGTTTGACCTGGTAGCTGCCAATGACATGGACGACGACCATTAAGTTAGCAGCAGCAATGAGCCATGAAGGTTTCTTAAGATCCATGAGCACATTGTCATCAACATCTTGACCAAAAGCCCAGTACCCAATAAGGGCCACTGGGAAATAGCAAATGGCATTGATGAAATAGGCTCCGAGAGCACCTTTCCACATGGGTATCCTCGAAGGCTTCTCGGGAGTTGATGGAATTGTGGCCTGAATTTCAAGGGCCACTGCATGCCCTGCAAATGCAAACGAGATTTGACCCAACGCATTGAACACCCTGAACATGTAATCTGCTGGGCTCGTTTTCTTGTAAGCGTAGCTTACATTTTCAACCCGACCTTTGCTTAAGCAACCAGCCCAGGCTATAGTTGAATAACTGCAAATTAATCAACCAAATTATAATTAATCAAGCAAGTTTGTTAACTTGCCTTCTAAGGTTTCTCTTGTTAAGTGAGGCAAATTTAATAGGGTTTTAGAAAGGGTGACTTGACTGACTGCTCTAATTGTTGTTCTAAAACAAAACCAGAAAACCAACTTAGAGAAAGAATTAAGAAACTAATTACCTTAGTGACATGACCGCAGCTGCTAGAGAAACACCAGCTACGGAGTTGAAATTAGGAAGCTGAGAAAGAAAGAAATGGAGAGAGCCAAAGATGACAATCCAGTATGATTGCTTGATGGGTGTGCAGTTGGCACAGGCCATCTCCACAAACTTCTTTAGACACTTTCCCCCGGTAACCATGTACACTATGTCACACCCAACCTGCACAATTAGCTGCTGTGGAAGCACAATCCACGGCCCCAGTTTTGGTCCAAAGGCATGTCGACCCAGGTCTATATATCTGTCGAACCGAGTCCCTGGGACACATTCATGGAGTTGTATCATCTGCCACATTGTGTTCAAGGTCATGCACCATGATATTGCCAACACCATTGTCCCCGGACCCCTGAAGAAACAAAACCCAAAAAAAAAGAGAGGAAGAAAAGTGGTTTAGTCTGTAACTACGACTACAGGGACAACTTGTCTCTTTTTGGTTTTGGTAATTTGAGGTATTTTTTGTACCATCCTAAGTAGGCCATGGCATAAGGCAGACTGAGAACACCGGCACCTATCATGGCAGTGACGGTGTGAAAGGTAGAGTACCACCATTTGGCTCGGCGAGTGGCGTCCAGATCCTCCTTCCATTTGTCGTCTGAAACAACTTCCTGCCAGAGTTTGGAACACATAAATGATAAAACCAAAATCAAAATCAAACAGAGCTAAGATTGAAAAAAATTGTAAAGCTAGTTGATTAGTAGTCTAGTACTGTTTTGTGTGAGTAGAGTAAAGAATGGTGACTGATGCTCACCTTTGGAGGAGGAGGAGGAGGAGGAGGAGGAGGAGGAGGAGGAGAAGTTGTAACCATTTTTTCTTCTTTCTTTTGCAAAGAAGACAGAGAAACACTTTCAATGTGGGAGTTGAGTGATCGTCATCATGTATGTATATAGCGGTTGATGACCCAAAATTGAGGATGGAACATGGAAAGAAATGTGGGATATGTACATTGCTTTGCCCCACTTGTGTATATTTATTTTTGTTGCTTTCCACTGGGACTTGTGCTTTTCAAGACTGATCAGATGAGCAACAAGACTGATCAGATGAGCAAATCATATAGGAAAAGCAGTAAAGACCCTTGCATACTTGGCAAAAGATGTTAACTCCCCACTTAAAATTATGTAGTGTTTTACTGAAGCTAAGGATTGTGATTTTACTCCACCCACTTTAATGTTTGAAACAAAGGAATCTGAGGAGGACCCCATTTTGACAAGCATCATGAAGCTCCCCTGTCAATTTTCTTTATGGAAAGTTCATTTTATACAATTATTTTATTTCTATTCCGAGTATTGAATCAATGATGGAAAATAAAATTAAAAATTTGTTAGTGGGTGAATGGATCCACCTTAAATTCAATCGGTACAATTATATAACATTACGGCTTTATAAAGAGAAGAGGGCATAGTTTGAGGGATAATGATTAAAGACCAAGGATGCTCTTCTTCATGGGTAGTTAGTGGTGTCTATTTCTTTTCTTCTTTTTGAGTGTCCCCTGTCACTTTGCACGCCCGGAGGTGACTGCTAGCCACTGATTACCACAAAATTAAAGGTTAATTATCATGTTTTGTTTAATCTTACGCTAACTCAACATCACACATATATTAGAGAAAATTGTGATAATGATATTAGAAATGCAACTAGGTTTCAACTTTCATTCATGTTCAACCAACAAGTTCACACGTTGTTCAATAAGCTGCTTCTTTCTTGATATGTGTATGCGTGTGAGGGTGTAAATTGCGATTACAAATCAAACAAGTACACCAAAAATTTGGCTTAGGGAAGATATAACGCACCCGCACTAAATTTCTGCAGAAGACAAAAGGTATGGCCTTATTCATGGGATAAAAACTTGCACACTTAACCAGGATTAGGTATTGGTAAAGAGCTATGTCAAGATGCGTAAAGGTATAAATTCTCATTTAAGAAGAGAGGCCTCTAAAAATCATAAGTAAAACTCTGATAATTTGAGGTTATACTTGGCTGATAATCAAGTTCTTCACATGCCAGTCTACAAGTATTTGTAATAAGTCGAAGCTCTTGTTTGTTTAACCCATAAAGCCTCCTCCAGGCATATTGGGCCCTTGTGAGGGAACTTGTCCCTGTGAAACTAATTGCGACCGGCCTTGAACATAAGCTTGACCCATTCCTGTCCCAACCAACTGCTGTTGTTGGTGCTGTTGCTGCAGTTGCTGCAATTGTGGAAGCTGTTGTTGTGATTGTAGCTGTGAGAGCTGCTGCTGTTGCAGCTGCGGAAGCTGCTGCTGTTGTTGCAGCTGTGGAAGTTGCTGCTGTTGTTGCAGCTGTGGAAGTTGCTGCTGCTGCTGTTGTTGCTGCAGTTGTGGAATTTGTTGCTGTTGTTGCAGTTGAGGATGCTGCTGCTGTTGTTGTTGCAGTTGAGGATGCTGCTGCTGCTGTTGTTGCAGTTGAGGATGCTGCTGCGGCTGTTGTTGCATCTGAGGATGCTGCTGCTGTTGTGGTTGCATCTGAGGATGCTGCTGCTGCTGCTGCTGTTGTTGCATCTGAGGATGCTGTTGCTGTTGTTGCAGCTGCTGCTGCTGCTGCTGAAGCTGTGGATGTTGTTGTTGTTGTAGCTGTGGATGCTGCTGCTGCTGCTGTAGCTGTGGATGCTGTTGTGGTTGCTGCTGTTGCATTTGTTGCTGCTGTTGTTGCTGACCACCTACTTGTGGCTTAAACACAACCATATCCTGAACCGACGGTACACTTAGCTTTAAAAGAACCAGGTTATAAGAAAGTTACAATGCCGTGCCACAACCTCATTTTGGAGAACCCCCACAGGCCTCCATTTCAAAATTGGAAAAAATTAAAACAAAAGTTGAGGGATATGCAGGGAACCTTCAGAACTGAAAGCACCTTGTACAGGCTGCTACAAAGCTCTTTAATCTATCCCCCACAATCTTCACAAAATACAAGGTTCATTTTGCAGGTTGCTTTTAATACTGAAGGTACCTTACATACGTTTTGTGGACTTGCAAGCTCAGAGTTGGTGGCTATTAAAACTTTATTTGGAAAATAAATAAATAATAAGTAATCACAATCAGCAGTAATAAGAATGGCAATCTCACCCCAGGAAAAAGCATTCCAATCAAGCGGCAAGCTTTGTCAGAAACAGAGAGCAGTAGTGTCTGAGAGGGCAATTGGATCACAGCACACTGAAAAAAAAGTGGGAACCAGCTTTTTGAGAAAAAAATCTATCGGAAAGAACTCAATTTCATATTTACATTCAGAGGAAAACTATTATAATAAAAAGTCAAATAAAATAGAAGAGACCAACTAGCTTTGATGCTGAAGCCTCACAAGGATGAGAACAGAATCCAAAATTTAACCCCACTTCAAGCTGACCATTATTCACCCAAATAAATGCATAAAAAACACAAATGGAATATAGTTTATCACGGCATTTGGAGGTTATTGAGTTTGATTAAATAATTATCTAGGTTCATATGAGAATGTCACAAAGCAAGGGCTAATAATGATGATTAGGTTAATATAAATGAAAGAGCATGATCGTTGGACAAGTGGATGAGAAACTAAAGGGATAAAGTGGAAGCTGTAAGTAATTGAATAGCAATAAGGAGAGTTTTTCAATGTTGAGACTTGAGAAAAAGTGAAGTCCCCTCATTCAAAAAGTATAGATGTGGTTCACTCTATCTCACCCCCCAAAAACCCAAACAAAATAACCTAAAAAAGGGCTTGAAAAAGGAAGTGCAGCATGAATGATGAAAGTCAAAAATTTTGTGAAGAAAATCAAATTGGAATATGTTGGCTACACTTACAGGAAGAAATACATAGAAGGGAAGGGAGAGAGAGTAAGCATCTTACAAGCTTCTTTTCTTGCAACTGCCCGAGAAACCCATGCTGATTCATTGCTCGAAAAACAAGAAAGTCTGCCCTTCCAACATATTGCCTGAAATTATAAATGTTGATGAAATCAAGAAGACTGAGGAGTATAACAACTACAGGACAATATATAAAATACAAGAGGGAAATCTTTCAATAAACAGTAGTTACTTGTTATTCATGTGGTCCTGAGATATGAGCCTGACTATTTGCATTGTCGGTGGCCAGTTTGCTGCAAGCCTGAGGAGTGAGAAAACACAGGTCGATCAATATAGGTAAAAGATATATGCCAATGACATTATGTTTTACCATAATTATAACACTTTATTGTGCAGTAAAGCACCAACCAACAATGCCAGCCCAACTAAAGAGTTCTGATCAAAACTTATAGCAACCACTCTCAGATCATCAGGATTCTAAGAATGGAGGTAACTTGAGAAAACACACCCACTCTCAGATCATCTATATTTGCCTAGTAAAGGTGCATGAAATCAAGTTGAGTACAAACTCAGTTCATTAACTTTTTATTTTAACCAATAGTAGTAGACCTTTTTTCATAAAAATAAATAAATTTGTGTTAAAGATAGAAACTTTAAACCATTAATTATATTTCATTGACATATTATTTGGCAAAGAAAATAGAGCACTCCCCCAACTTACGTCTCAGAAGCTGAAGCACTCCTGTAACCCTGACAAAGAAGCATTTGGGATTTTAGTAAATAATTGAGTAACTGCTAATATTGTAAAAGATAAATGGGAAAATTACAAATAAACCCCATTCGGTTAGGCCCTAAAACATTGCTCATCTCTGTGGTTTATTTCAGGACACTTGCATCTTTCTGGTTTACTAAAATTTCTATTTAACATGTGTCATTAACGACACGTAAGAAAACTATATATCCACTTTTTGTGTTCTCTGCAATTATTGTTCTCTCTCTCCTTCTCTGGCACCAAATGCATAATAATTTTGTAATATAAATCACTCAAAAGCACAATCACAAGGGAACACATAGAAAACCTATGGTTATCCATTACAGACACATTGGCTTTGATTCTATGGAAATCTGGAGTTTGTGTTTCTCTGTTTTGATAGTTTGGCAGTGGAGTTTTCGGTGAAGAGTGGAGTTGATGGAAATCAAAGATGAAGAAGAGAATGGGCATATGGTCTTTCACAACCCAATTTTTATGAAAACATCCTGAAAATTCTCATGTGCCAGAGCCACACATATGCTTCATTATTTTTCTTCTCAAAATTAATGATTATGTGCAATGAAAGAAACCACAGAAGTATGAGTGTCACAAAATAAACCATAAGCACAAAATGTCAGACCACGTGGGGTGTATCTGTAATTTTCCCAAAACAACTTTAAGTAAAAGCACATAAAAGCATATGAACATCCTACAAGAGAGCAAACTTTATTAGAGGGGGAAAAAGTAGAATCCTAAAAAGAAGTCCATGTGATCCCATGAGGCATCTGAGAACAAACCTCTAATCTGGTGATAAATACAGGTTGCCCTTGTCTCTGCCCAGATAAATTTCCCTGCATGTGTTTAGATCATTCAAATATAACTGATTGCAGAATTCCACAGTAAACAAGAGCCAACCCTCTTATAAATTTTCCCTGATATTCTATCTCACAAAAGCCCAACTCAAATATTTTCCAAAAAAAATATACTAGACCTACCTCCCAGACTTTCACATATTTGGATTGTGCAGATTGCAGAGCACTTGATGTCTGTTGTGACAATGGTACATTAGGTGCTGAACTATTGTTTGCACCAAGTGACTGTATCCCAGCTTGCACCTGTTGAGGCATTCCTGGAGTAGGAATCATGGTACCAGTTCCAGAGGAGGAACCTGATGAACCAAGGGCACTCATCATGTTAGGGTTCATGCCAATTGCACTTTGAACCATTTGTGGTCCCGAGAGATTTCCTTGGCTCATGCCAGGT